GATGCAACAGACAACACTAGGTCTAGAGGAAACTGGTATGTTTTGATAACTTTAACAAGATGCAACAGACAACACTAGGTCTAGAGGAAACTGGTATGTTCTGATAACTTTAACAAGATGCAACAGACAACACTAGGTCTATAGGAAACTGGTAAGTTCTGGTAACTTTAACAAGATGCAACAGACAACACTAGGTCTAGAGGAAACTGGTAAGTTTTGATAACTTTAACAAGATGCAACAGACAACACTAGGTCTAGAGGAAACTGGTATGTTCTAATAACTTTAACAAGATGCAACAGACAACACTAGGTCTAGAGGAAACTGGTATGTTTTGATAACTTTAACAAGATGCAACAGACAACACTAGGTCTAGAGGAAACTGGTAAGTTTTGATAACTTTAACAAGATGCAACAGACAACACTAGGTCTAGAGGAAACTGGTATATTCTGATAACTTTAACAAGATGCAACAGACAACACTAGGTCTAGAGGAAACTGGTAAGTTTTGATAACTTTAACAAGATGCAACAGACAACACTAGGTCTAGGGGAAACTGGTAAGTTTTGATAACTTTAACAAGATGCAACAGACAACACTAGGTCTAGAGGAAACTGGTAAGTTTTGATAACTTTAACAAGATGCAACAGACAACACTAGGTCTAGAGGAAACTGGTATATTCTGATAACTTTAACAAGATGCAACAGACAACACTAGGTCTAGAGGAAACTGGTAAGTTTTGATAACTTTAACAAGATGCAACAGACAACACTAGATCTAGAGGAAACTGGTAAGTTTGGCTAACTTTAACAAGATGCAACAGACAACACTAGATCTAGAGGAAACTGGTATGTTTTGATAACTTTAACAAGATGCAACAGACAACACTAGGTCTAGAGGAAACTGGTAAGTTTTGATAACTTTAACAAGATGCAACAGACAACACTAGGTCTAGAGGAAACTGGTAAGTTTTGATAACTTTAACAAGATGCAACAGACAACACTAGATCTAGAGGAAACTGGTATGTTTTGATAACTTTAACAAGATGCAACAGACAACACTAGGCCTAGAGGAAACTGGTAAGTTTTGATAACTTTAACAAGATGCAACAGACAACACAAGATCTAGAGGAAACTGGTATGTTTTGATAACTTTAACAAGATGCAACAGACAACACTAGGTCTAGAGGAAACTGGTAAGTTTTGATAACTTTAACAAGATGCAACAGACAACACTAGGTCTAGAGGAAACTGGTAAGTTTTGATAACTTTAACAAGATGCAACAGACAACACTAGGTCTAGAGGAAACTGGTATGTTCTGATAACTTTAACAAGATGCAACAGACAACACTAGGTCTATAGGAAACTGGTAAGTTCTGGTAACTTTAACAAGATGCAACAGACAACACTAGGTCTAGAGGAAACTGGTAAGTTTTGATAACTTTAACAAGATGCAACAGACAACACTAGGTCTAGAGGAAACTGGTATGTTCTGATAACTTTAACAAGATGCAACAGACAACACTAGGTCTAGAGGAAACTGGTATGTTTTGATAACTTTAACAAGATGCAACAGACAACACTAGGTCTAGAGGAAACTGGTAAGTTTTGATAACTTTAACAAGATGCAACAGACAACACTAGGTCTAGAGGAAACTGGTAAGTTTTGATAACTTTAACAAGATGCAACAGACAACACTAGGTCTAGAGGAAACTGGTAAGTTTTGATAACTTTAACAAGATGCAACAGACAACACTAGGTCTAGAGGAAACTGGTAAGTTTTGATAACTTTAACAAGATGCAACAGACAACACTAGGTCTAGAGGAAACTGGTAAGTTTTGATAACTTTAACAAGATGCAACAGACAACACTAGGTCTAGAGGAAACTGGTAAGTTTTGATAACTTTAACAAGATGCAACAGACAACACTAGGTCTAGAGGAAACTGGTATGTTTTGATAACTTTAACAAGATGCAACAGACAACACTAGGTCTAGAGGAAACTGGTATGTTCTGATAACTTTAACAAGATGCAACAGACAACACTAGGTCTATAGGAAACTGGTAAGTTCTGGTAACTTTAACAAGATGCAACAGACAACACTAGGTCTAGAGGAAACTGGTAAGTTTTGATAACTTTAACAAGATGCAACAGACAACACTAGGTCTAGAGGAAACTGGTAAGTTCTGATAACTTTAACAAGATGCAACAGACAACACTAGGTCTAGAGGAAACTGGTATGTTTTGATAACTTTAACAAGATGCAACAGACAACACTAGGTCTAGAGGAAACTGGTAAGTTTTGATAACTTTAACAAGATGCAACAGACAACACTAGGTCTAGAGGAAACTGGTAAGTTTTGATAACTTTAACAAGATGCAACAGACAACACTAGGTCTAGAGGAAACTGGTAAGTTTTGATAACTTTAACAAGATGCAACAGACAACACTAGGTCTAGAGGAAACTGGTATGTTTTGATAACTTTAACAAGATGCAACAGACAACACTAGGTCTAGAGGAAACTGGTAAGTTTTGATAACTTTAACAAGATGCAACAGACAACACTAGGTCTAGAGGAAACTGGTAAGTTTTGATAACTTTAACAAGATGCAACAGACAACACTAGGTCTAGAGGAAACTGGTATATTCTGATAACTTTAACAAGATGCAACAGACAACACTAGGTCTAGAGGAAACTGGTAAGTTTTGATAACTTTAACAAGATGCAACAGACAACACTAGGTCTAGAGGAAACTGGTAAGTTTTGATAACTTTAACAAGATGCAACAGACAACACTAGGTCTAGAGGAAACTGGTAAGTTTTGATAACTTTAACAAGATGCAACAGACAACACTAGGTCTAGAGGAAACTGGTATATTCTGATAACTTTAACAAGATGCAACAGACAACACTAGGTCTAGAGGAAACTGGTAAGTTTTGATAACTTTAACAAGATGCAACAGACAACACTAGATCTAGAGGAAACTGGTAAGTTTGGCTAACTTTAACAAGATGCAACAGACAACACTAGATCTAGAGGAAACTGGTATGTTTTGATAACTTTAACAAGATGCAACAGACAACACTAGGTCTAGAGGAAACTGGTAAGTTTTGATAACTTTAACAAGATGCAACAAACAACACTAGGTCTAGAGGAAACTGGTAAGTTTTGATAACTTTAACAAGATGCAACAGACAACACTAGGTCTAGAGGAAACTGGTATATTCTGATAACTTTAACAAGATGCAACAGACAACACTAGGTCTAGAGGAAACTGGTAAGTTTTGATAACTTTAACAAGATGCAACAGACAACACTAGGTCTAGAGGAAACTGGTAAGTTTTGATAACTTTAACAAGATGCAACAGACAACACTAGGTCTAGAGGAAACTGGTAAGTTTTGATAACTTTAACAAGATGCAACAGACAACACTAGGTCTAGAGGAAACTGGTATATTCTGATAACTTTAACAAGATGCAACAGACAACACTAGGTCTAGAGGAAACTGGTAAGTTTTGATAACTTTAACAAGATGCAACAGACAACACTAGATCTAGAGGAAACTGGTAAGTTTGGCTAACTTTAACAAGATGCAACAGACAACACTAGATCTAGAGGAAACTGGTATGTTTTGATAACTTTAACAAGATGCAACAGACAACACTAGGTCTAGAGGAAACTGGTAAGTTTTGATAACTTTAACAAGATGCAACAAACAACACTAGGTCTAGAGGAAACTGGTAAGTTTTGATAACTTTAACAAGATGCAACAGACAACACTAGATCTAGAGGAAACTGGTATGTTTTGATAACTTTAACAAGATGCAACAGACAACACTAGGCCTAGAGGAAACTGGTAAGTTTTGATAACTTTAACAAGATGCAACAGACAACACTAGGTCTAGAGGAAACTGGTATGTTTTGATAACTTTAACAAGATGCAACAGACAACACTAGGCCTAGAGGAAACTGGTATGTTTTGATAACTTTAACAAGATGCAACAGACAACACTAGGTCTAGAGGAAACTGGTAAGTTTTGATAACTTTAACAAGATGCAACAGACAACACTAGGCCTAGAGGAAACTGGTAAGTTTTGATAACTTTAACAAGATGCAACAGACAACACTAGGTCTAGAGGAAACTGGTAAGTTTGGCTAACTTTAACAAGATGCAACAGACAACACTAGGTCTAGAGGAAACTGGTATGTTTTGATAACTTTAACAAGATGCAACAGACAACACTAGGTCTAGAGGAAACTGGTATGTTTTGATAACTTTAACAAGATGCAACAGACAACACTAGGTCTAGAGGAAACTGGTAAGTTTGGCTAACTTTAACAAGATGCAACAGACAACACTAGGTCTAGAGGAAACTGGTAAGTTTGGCTAACTTTAACAAGATGCAACAGACAACACTAGGTCTAGAGGAAACTGGTAAGTTTGGCTAACTTTAACAAGATGCAACAGACAACACTAGGTCTAGAGGAAACTGGTAAGTTTGGCTAACTTTAACAAGATGCAACAGACAACACTAGGTCTAGAGGAAACTGGTATGTTCTGATAACTTTAACAAGATGCAACAGACAACACTAGGTCTAGAGGAAACTGGTATGTTCTGATAACTTTAACAAGATGCAACAGACAACACTAGGTCTAGAGGAAACTGGTATGTTCTGATAACTTTAACAAGATGCAACAGACAACACTAGGTCTAGAGGAAACTGGTATGTTCTGATAACTTTAACAAGATGCAACAGACAACACTAGGTCTAGAGGAAACTGGTATGTTTTGATAACTCTAAACCTTCATGAGACAAACAAAAACAGACAACACTAAAGTTCTGTTAATCTGTTGTAAGCCTTCAAGAGGCAAAACAGATTGAGAACCCCTTATCAAAGTGATAAGCTCCCTTTAGCCAAATCGTGTCAAATATCTGCTGACGTCAGTTTGGTGAAGTTTCACTAAAAAATAATTTTACTTTGTATTACAGAAGGTGAAAAAATTGAACCAGTCGCCTCTATGGACCAGGGGGACAAAAACCATGGGAACCAGTTGACAGTCCTTGGCGTGCAGATGGTGTTGGGTGTTGTCTTTCTGCTTGTTGTCTTGTAATATGTTTCTGTTACTGGATCTGGGATGAATTATTTATAAATTCTATTTATTTCTCCTGTCCACATCTTTCAACTCCTTTTTCCAAAAACAAAACAAAAATTCTTTTTGTAACTTTTCTAAAATGCTAGATCTCTCTATTCCACCAAAATCATCTTTTTTTCTTATGATTTTTTTTTTATTTCATAAAATAACTAGGTCTTACTGGTAATTGATTAGTATTGTTTCTAGACTTTAAATTGTTAAATGTATCATTTAGATTAGTTTTTTTTCTAAACTGAAATTGTTTAATTAGTAAATTATTGTTATTTATTGAATTGATCAGTATCATTCCTGGAGAGTAGTCTTGGAGATTGAGTTGGCACTAACTAACCATTCACTTCATCAAGAGTTGAAGATATCACATCGTTAATTGCTAGAAATTGGTGCAACCAGATGAACAATGAATTAGTTGTACCCAAAGATGGTTAGCGCCAATGCTGGTTCGACATTTTTCTTGGACTTTCAACACTAGTGAACCTTTTTGGCAAGCCTGTCAGAAAAGTTAATCCAACACTAGTGAACCTTTTTGGCAAGCCTGTCAGAAAAGTGAACCAAACACTAGTGAACCTTTTTGGCTAGCCTGTCAGAAAAGTGAACCAAACACTAGTGAACCTTTTTGGCAAGCCTGTCAGAAAAGTGAACCCAACACAAGTGAACCTTTTTGGCAAGCCTGTCAGAAAAGTGAATCATTCCTGTGTGCGTGTATTACAGTATCAGGAAGTGAAGTAAAGTGCCATCTAGAGAATGCCTTCAGTATGTCCCTGTTGGTATATTGTCTGACTAATTTCTGTCTTATTGAACTGGATGACTATAATCCCTATATAATTTAACCAGAGAAATAATCATGCAGGATTGTCCTTCAAAAATTATACTTTAATTTAAAAAACTGAAGTCATTTTGTTAAAAAAAATTTCAATAATTGTTTCAAATCTCCTAGCCTTTATAAACTATTACAAATATTTCTAAATAGCTATTTAATATATTTAGATGTCTATTATTGCTTATGTCTTTTTTAAATGTTTGTTAAATATTAGCTTTACTAATGGTTAAAAAATACAAGTATTTGAGTGTATAGACAAAAAAGAAGCCAAAACTGGAGAAATTAATATCAAACCTTGTTGTTTTTCAAAAATGCCAGTTTTTTAACCAAAGTTAAAAAAACTTCATCGACTGCGACTTTGCTACAATTCTAAATTTATAAAAGCGCCCCAGCCACAATGTAGTTTGTGTACCTTCAGCTTTTTCTGTGAGACATTGAAACCTTTACACTTAAATTCAGAGAGAAAGTCATTTTCTCGAGAGAGCTTTTTAAACTTGTAAATGTTGTAGGCTTTTTTGTCACATTATGTGCTGTTTTTTTTTATTGAGAGTTCAAGTGATGTCTGGACTCATCTTTTGTTGTGGTTTTTTTAATTTGTATTGCTTTTAATGGTATTTAGATTTTTAGTGACTAAAAGCTACCAGATATTAGAATGATCTAGTTAAGATTTACTTGAAAACTACCAGATGTTTGAATGAACTAACAATGGTTTAAGTGTTTTAACCCAAAGGTTAAGGTTCTTTAAAGGAATACTTCTTTTGGCATGACTTAGTGAAGACCTGTTTCACTAATGATTCATTTTTGTATGCATTCCTTTGGTATAGTAATTTGGCCTTACGGATGAGTCTGCAATTGTATAAATTGCTAAGTAATATATGGTTCGTTAATTCTTATATAATTTAATCCATGTAAAAAAAAAATTTTAATGCTTTTTAACTGCCTTTATTATTTTTTTAAAAAAAGAATCCCTTTATTGCAAGCAATAGTTTAATATACAACATAAATGTCTAATTAATTTTTTTATGCTATATTTTTAAAAGAAATAGTTTGTGTTGGGAGTTTGGTATACTGTGTGGTTTTGTTCCGGTAGTTTCTTGCCTTAGTATTCACACACTGAATCCATCAGCAAAAATGTTATCTAATTTATGAGCAGACTGAGCCATGTTAAACGCTCTATTTGCCAACTGAAAGCTAATGGGTAGTTGTTTACTTTTATTCTCACACATTGAAGATGGGGGAAAACTTAACTCCAAACAAGATTTCTGGTGTAAATTTTTGGCAATTTATAAAATAATGTGAACACTCAAATTTTTTTTGGTGTTGAAAATTGTGGTGAGATGCTGGTTTGACAAAATAAAAATAAACTTTTTTTTAAAAACTTTAGTTGACTTCTTTTTTTGTAACTCACAAGTTATTCATTGACCTTCAACTGTGAGCACTTGTAGCAGACATCACAAGACAGGGTAGGACCCAACTTAAGGAAACCCATGCTGAAATATTCACAGGGTAGGACCCAACTTAAGGTATTCACAGGGTAGGACCCAACTTAAAGTATTCACAGGGTAGGACCCAAGGTATTCACAGGGTAGGACCCAACTAATGGAAACCCATGCTGAAATATTCACAGGGTAGGACCCAACTTAAGGAAACCTGTACTGAAATATTCACAGAGTAGGACCCAACTTAGAAACATGTACTGAAATATGGAGTGACAGTGAGCCGTGTACAGAGTGACAGTGAGCCGTGTACAGAGTGACAGTGAGCCGTGTACTGAGTGTCAGTTGTACAGAGTGACAGTTGTACAGAGTGACAGTGAGCCGTGTACAGAGTGACAGTGAGCCGTGTACAGAGTGACAGTTGTACAGAGTGACAGTTGTACAGAGTGACAGTGAGCCATGTACAGAGTGACAGTGAGCCATGTACAAAGTGACAGTGAGCCATGTACAGAGTGACAGTTGTACAGAGTGACAGTGAGCCATGTACAGAGTGACAGTGAGCCATGTACAGAGTGACAGTGAGCCATGTACAAAGTGACAGTGAGCCATGTACAGAGTGACAGTTGTACAGAGTGACAGTGAGCCATGTACAGAGTGACAGTGAGCCATGTACAGAGTGACAGTGTGCCATGTACAGAGTGACAGTGCGCCATGTACAGAGTGACAGTGCGCCATGTACAGAGTGACAGTGAGCCATGTACAGAGTGACAGTGAGCCATGTACAGAGTGACAGTTGTACAGAGTGACAGTGAGCCGTGTACAGAGTGACAGTGAGCCATGTACAGAGTGACAGTGAGCCGTGTACAGAGTGACAGTGAGCCATGTACAGAGTGACAGTGAGCCATGTACAGAGTGACAGTTGTACAGAGTGACAGTGAGCCATGTACAGAGTGACAGTGAGCCATGTACAGAGTGACAGTGAGCCGTGTACAGAGTGACAGTGAGCCGTGTACAGAGTGACAGTGAGCCGTGTACAGAGTGACAGTGAGCCATGTACAGAGTGACAGTGAGCCGTGTACAGAGTGACAGTGAGCCATGTACAGAGTGACAGTGAGCCGTGTACTGAGTGACAGTTGTACAGAGTGACAGTTGTACAGAGTGACAGTGAGCCGTGTACAGAGTGACAGTGAGCCGTGTACAGAGTGACAGTTGTACAGAGTGACAGTTGTACAGAGTGACAGTGAGCCATGTACAGAGTGACAGTGAGCCATGTACAAAGTGACAGTGAGCCATGTACAGAGTGACAGTTGTACAGAGTGACAGTGAGCCATGTACAGAGTGACAGTGAGCCATGTACAAAGTGACAGTGAGCCATGTACAGAGTGACAGTTGTACAGAGTGACAGTGAGCCATGTACAGAGTGACAGTGAGCCATGTACAGAGTGACAGTGAGCCATGTACAAAGTGACAGTGAGCCATGTACAGAGTGACAGTTGTACAGAGTGACAGTGAGCCATGTACAGAGTGACAGTGAGCCATGTACAGAGTGACAGTGAGCCATGTACAAAGTGACAGTGAGCCATGTACAGAGTGACAGTTGTACAGAGTGACAGTGAGCCATGTACAGAGTGACAGTGAGCCATGTACAGAGTGACAGTGTGCCATGTACAGAGTGACAGTGCGCCATGTACCGAGTGACAGTGCGCCATGTACAGAGTGACAGTGAGCCATGTACAGAGTGACAGTGTGCCATGTACAGAGTGACAGTGTGCCATGTACAGAGTGACAGTTGTACAGAGTGACAGTGTGCCATGTACAGAGTTAAAGTGTGCCATGTACAGAGTGACAGTTGTACAGAGTGACAGTGAGCCGTGTACAGAGTGACAGTGAGCCGTGTACAGAGTGACAGTGAGCCGTGTACTGAGTGACAGTTGTACAGAGTGACAGTTGTACAGAGTGACAGTGAGCCGTGTACAGAGTGACAGTGAGCCGTGTACAGAGTGACAGTTGTACAGAGTGACAGTTGTACAGAGTGACAGTGAGCCATGTACAGAGTGACAGTGAGCCATGTACAAAGTGACAGTGAGCCATGTACAGAGTGACAGTTGTACAGAGTGACAGTGAGCCATGTACAGAGTGACAGTGAGCCATGTACAGAGTGACAGTGAGCCATGTACAAAGTGACAGTGAGCCATGTACAGAGTGACAGTTGTACAGAGTGACAGTGAGCCATGTACAGAGTGACAGTGAGCCATGTACAGAGTGACAGTGTGCCATGTACAGAGTGACAGTGCGCCATGTACAGAGTGACAGTGCGCCATGTACAGAGTGACAGTGAGCCATGTACAGAGTGACAGTGAGCCATGTACAGAGTGACAGTTGTACAGAGTGACAGTGAGCCGTGTACAGAGTGACAGTGAGCCATGTACAGAGTGACAGTGAGCCGTGTACAGAGTGACAGTGAGCCATGTACAGAGTGACAGTGAGCCATGTACAGAGTGACAGTTGTACAGAGTGACAGTGAGCCATGTACAGAGTGACAGTGAGCCATGTACAGAGTGATAGTGAGCCGTTTACAGAGTGACAGTGAGCCGTGTACAGAGTGACAGTGAGCCGTGTACAGAGTGACAGTGAGCCATGTACAGAGTGACAGTGAGCCGTGTACAGAGTGACAGTGAGCCATGTACAGAGTGACAGTGAGCCGTGTACTGAGTGACAGTTGTACAGAGTGACAGTTGTACAGAGTGACAGTGAGCCGTGTACAGAGTGACAGTGAGCCGTGTACAGAGTGACAGTTGTACAGAGTGACAGTTGTACAGAGTGACAGTGAGCCATGTACAGAGTGACAGTGAGCCATGTACAAAGTGACAGTGAGCCATGTACAGAGTGACAGTTGTACAGAGTGACAGTGAGCCATGTACAGAGTGACAGTGAGCCATGTACAAAGTGACAGTGAGCCATGTACAGAGTGACAGTTGTACAGAGTGACAGTGAGCCATGTACAGAGTGACAGTGAGCCATGTACAGAGTGACAGTGAGCCATGTACAAAGTGACAGTGAGCCATGTACAGAGTGACAGTTGTACAGAGTGACAGTGAGCCATGTACAGAGTGACAGTGAGCCATGTACAGAGTGACAGTGAGCCATGTACAAAGTGACAGTGAGCCATGTACAGAGTGACAGTTGTACAGAGTGACAGTGAGCCATGTACAGAGTGACAGTGAGCCATGTACAGAGTGACAGTGTGCCATGTACAGAGTGACAGTGCGCCATGTACCGAGTGACAGTGCGCCATGTACAGAGTGACAGTGAGCCATGTACAGAGTGACAGTGTGCCATGTACAGAGTGACAGTGTGCCATGTACAGAGTGACAGTTGTACAGAGTGACAGTGTGCCATGTACAGAGTGACAGTGTGCCATGTACAGAGTGACAGTTGTACAGAGTGACAGTGAGCCGTGTACAGAGTGACAGTGAGCCGTGTACAGAGTGACAGTGAGCCGTGTACTGAGTGACAGTTGTACAGAGTGACAGTTGTACAGAGTGACAGTGAGCCGTGTACAGAGTGACAGTGAGCCGTGTACAGAGTGACAGTTGTACAGAGTGACAGTTGTACAGAGTGACAGTGAGCCATGTACAGAGTGACAGTGAGCCATGTACAAAGTGACAGTGAGCCATGTACAGAGTGACAGTTGTACAGAGTGACAGTGAGCCATGTACAGAGTGACAGTGAGCCATGTACAGAGTGACAGTGAGCCATGTACAAAGTGACAGTGAGCCATGTACAGAGTGACAGTTGTACAGAGTGACAGTGAGCCATGTACAGAGTGACAGTGAGCCATGTACAGAGTGACAGTGTGCCATGTACAGAGTGACAGTGCGCCATGTACAGAGTGACAGTGCGCCATGTACAGAGTGACAGTGAGCCATGTACAGAGTGACAGTGAGCCATGTACAGAGTGACAGTTGTACAGAGTGACAGTGAGCCGTGTACAGAGTGACAGTGAGCCGTGTACAGAGTGACAGTGAGCCGTGTACTGAGTGACAGTTGTACAGAGTGACAGTTGTACAGAGTGACAGTGAGCCGTGTACAGAATGACAGTGAGCCGTGTACAGAGTGACAGTTGTACAGAGTGACAGTTGTACAGAGTGACAGTGAGCCATGTACAGAGTGACAGTGAGCCATGTACAAAGTGACAGTGAGCCATGTACAGAGTGACAGTTGTACAGAGTGACAGTGAGCCATGTACAGAGTGACAGTGAGCCATGTACAGAGTGACAGTGAGCCATGTACAAAGTGACAGTGAGCCATGTACAGAGTGACAGTTGTACAGAGTGACAGTGAGCCATGTACAGAGTGACAGTGAGCCATGTACAGAGTGACAGTGTGCCATGTACAGAGTGACAGTGCGCCATGTACAGAGTGACAGTGCGCCATGTACAGAGTGACAGTGAGCCATGTACAGAGTGACAGTGAGCCATGTACAGAGTGACAGTTGTACAGAGTGACAGTGAGCCGTGTACAGAGTGACAGTGAGCCATGTACAGAGTGACAGTGAGCCGTGTACAGAGTGACAGTGAGCCATGTACAGAGTGACAGTGAGCCATGTACAGAGTGACAGTTGTACAGAGTGACAGTGAGCCATGTACAGAGTGACAGTGAGCCATGTACAGAGTGACAGTGAGCCGTGTACAGAGTGACAGTGAGCCGTGTACAGAGTGACAGTGAGCCGTGTACAGAGTGACAGTGAGCCATGTACAGAGTGACAGTGAGCCGTGTACAGAGTGACAGTGAGCCATGTACAGAGTGACAGTGAGCCGTGTACTGAGTGACAGTTGTACAGAGTGACAGTTGTACAGAGTGACAGTGAGCCGTGTACAGAGTGACAGTGAGCCGTGTACAGAGTGACAGTTGTACAGAGTGACAGTTGTACAGAGTGACAGTGAGCCATGTACAGAGTGACAGTGAGCCATGTACAAAGTGACAGTGAGCCATGTACAGAGTGACAGTTGTACAGAGTGACAGTGAGCCATGTACAGAGTGACAGTGAGCCATGTACAGAGTGACAGTGAGCCATGTACAAAGTGACAGTGAGCCATGTACAGAGTCACAGTTGTACAGAGTGACAGTGAGCCATGTACAGAGTGACAGTGAGCCATGTACAGAGTGACAGTGTGCCATGTACAGAGTGACAGTGTGCCATGTACAGAGTGACAGTGTGCCATGTACAGATCGACAGTTGTACAGAGTGACAGTGTGCCATGTACAGAGTGACAGTGTGCCATGTACAGAGTGACAGTTGTACAGAGTGACAGTGAGCCATGTACAGAGTGACAGTGTGCCATGTACAGAGTGACAGTGAGCCATGTATAGAGTGACAGTGAGCCGTGTACAGAGTGACAGTGAGCTGTGTACAGAGTGACAGTTGTACAGAGTGACAGTGAGCCGTGTACAGAGTGACAGTGTGCCATGTACAGAGTGACAGTGTGCCATGTACAGAATGACAGTGAGCCATGTACAGAGTGACAGTGAGCCATGTACAGAGTGACAGTGAGCCGTGTACAGAGTGACAGTAAGCCATGTACAGAGTGACAGTGAGCCATGTACAGAGTGACAGTGAGCCACATACAGAGTGACAGTGAGCCGTGTACAGAGTGACAGTGAGCCATGTACAGAGTGACAGTGAGCCATGTACAGAGTGCCAGTGAGCCACATACAGAGTGACAGTGAGCCGTGTACAGAGTGACAGTGTGCCATGTACAGAGTGACAGTGTGCCATGTACAGAATGACAGTGAGCCATGTACAGAGTGACAGTGAGCCATGTACAGAGTGACAGTGAGCCATGTACAGAGTGACAGTGTGCCGTGTACAGAGTGACAGTGAGCCACGTACAGAGTGACAGTGAGCCATGTACAGAGTGACAGTGAGCCATGTACAGAGTGACAGTGAGCCATGTACAGAGTGACAGTGAGCCGTGTACAGAGTGACAGTGAGCTGTGTACAGAGTGACAGTTGTACAGAGTGACAGTGAGCCGTGTACAGAGTGACAGTGTGCCATGTACAGAGTGAGCCACCAGTACCAGGTAAACCAACGCTGTGAAGGCCACCCATGATCATCCATTATGAGATCAGCTGTTGGACCACAGCAATTGTATCAATAACATAAACAAGAAACAGCACAAAAAAATTTTCTTTGATTTAGTAATGTAATCATTCAGAACAAAGTGTACAACATACAAAAAGTACATTATTTTCTATGTCCAACCATTAGCTGGCAACACAAATACAATAGTTAATCATTGAGTGAACAACATTCAGAGACATTATGTACAAGCAAATTTACAAATATAAAACTGTTGGGGTAATAGGGGCCTGAGATTTGATATACCCTGGTCATCCTACAATTTAATGATGGTAACTTTACCAGGGTATTTGTGAAATAAAAAAGCAGCTGCGCTTTTCAATGAACTTTTTTTTTTCAAATTCAACTTTTTTCTATTATTTTTGTGTGTGCGAAAGTTACAACAGTAGTGGGTAACTCAAGAGTGATGGTGTATGAAGTTTGCTACTTCTGTATGTGTTGGTGTATGAGATTTGCTACTGCTGTATGTGTTGGTGTATGAGATTTGCTACTGCTGTATGTGTTGGTGTATGAGATTTGCTACTGCTGTATGTGTTGGTGTATGAGATTTGCTACTGCTGTATGTGTTGGTGTATGAGATTTGCTACTTCTGTATGTGTTGGTGTATGAGATTTGCTACTGCTGTATGTGTTGGTGTATGAGATTTGCTACTGCTGTATGTGTTGGTGTATGAGATTTACTACTGCTGTATGTGTTGGTGTATGAGATTTGCTACTGCTGTATGTGTTGGTGTATGAGATTTGCTACTGCTGTATGTGTTGGTGTATGAGATTTGCTACTGCTGTATGTGTGGGTGTGTATGAGATTTGCTACTGCTACATGTGTTGGTGTATGAGATTTGCTACTGCTGTATGTGTTGGTGTATGAGATTTACTACTGCTGTATGTGTGGGTGTGTATGAGATTTGCTACTGCTACATGTGTTGGTGTATGAGATTTGCTACTGCTGTATGTGTTGGTGTATGAGATTTGCTACTGCTGTATGTGTTGGTGTATGAGATTTGCTACTGCTGTATGTGTTGGTGTATGAGATTTGCTACTGCTGTATGTGTTGGTGTATGAGATTTGCTACTGCTGTGAACTACTGTAATGGTGTGTATGAGATTTGCTACTGCTGTATGTGTTGGTGTATGAGATTTGCTACTGCTGTGAACTACTGTAATGGTGTGTATGAGATTTGCTACTGCTGTATGTGTTGGTGTATGAGATTTGCTACTGCTGTATGTGTTGGTGTATGAGATTTGCTACTGCTACATGTGTTGGTGTATGAGATTTACTACTGCTGTATGTGTGGGTGTGTAAGAGATTTGCTACTGCTACATGTGTTGGTGTATGAGATTTGCTACTGCTGTATGTGTTGGTGTATGAAGTTTGCTACTGCTGTATGTGTTGTTGTATGAAGTTTGCTACTGCTGTATGTGTTGGTGTATGAGATTTGCTACTGCTGTATGTGTTGGTGTATGAGATTTGCTACTGCTGTATGTGTTGGTGTATGAGATTTACTACTGCTGTATGTGTGGGTGTGTATGAGGTTTGCTACTGCTGTATGTGTGGGTGTGTATGAGGTTTGCTACTGCTGTATGTGTGGGTGTGTATGAGATTTGCTACTGCTGTGAACTACTGTAATGGTGTGTATGAGATTTGCTACTGCTGTATGTGGTGGTGTATGAGATTAGCTACTGCTGTATGTGTTGGTGTATGAGATTTGCTACTGCTGTATGTGTTGGGTGTGTATGTACTGTATGTGTTGGTGTATGAGATTTGCTACTGCTGTATGTGTTGGGTGTGTATGTACTGTATGTGTTGGTGTATGAGATTTGCTACTGCTGTATGTGTGGGTGTGTATGTACTGTATGTGTTGTAGTGTATGAGATTTGCTACTGCTGTATGTGTGGGTGTGTATGTACTGTATGTGTTGTAGTGTATGAGATTTGCTACTGCTGTATGTGTGGGTGTGTATGTACTGTATGTGTTGTAGTGTATGAGATTTGCTACTGCTGTATGTGTTGGGTGTGTATGTACTGTATGTGTTGGTGTATGAGATTTGCTACTGCTGTATGTGTGGGTGTGTATGAGATTTACTACTGCTGTATGTGTTGTAGTGTATGAGATTTGCTACTGCTGTGAACTACTGTATGTGTTGTAGTGTATGAGATTTGCTACTGCTGTATGTGTTGTAGTGTATGAGATTTGCTACTGCTGTGAACTACTGTATGTGTTGTAGTGTATGAGATTTGCTACTGCTGTGAACTACTGTATGTGTTGTAGTGTATGAGATTTGCTACTGCTGTGAACTACTGTATGTGTGGGTGTATGAGATTTGCTACTGCTGTGAACTACTGTATGTGTTGTAGTGTATGAGATTTGCTACTGCTGTGAACTACTGTATGTGTGGGTGTATGAGATTTGCTACTGCTGTGAACTACTGTATGTGTTGTAGTGTATGAGATTTGCTACTGCTGTGAACTACTGTATGTGTTGTAGTGTATGAGATTTGCTACTGCTGTGAACTACTGTATGTGTTGTAGTGTATGAGATTTGCTACTGCTGTGAACTACTGTATGTGTTGTAGTGTATGAGATTTGCTACTGCTGTGAACTACTGGCTAAAGGAGGTGAGTTGTCCTTGACCTCCTGGCTGCCCTGTACATCCACGCCATCAGTAGCCACTACCTTGATCAGGGTCTCAATGGCCTGGTCAGCTCCCAGGGAACCCAACATTGTCTGGAAGACTTCGGGTGACGAGGCTAAAATATTTTTTGTGTCTGCAGCTACGACTGGAAAACAAATTTTTAAATTTAAATTTTTTTTTATGAAGAACATTTCTGCCGGAGTTTAATTACATGTAGACTTTCATTTTCTTTAAACCCTCTGAGTTTAATTACATGTAAAACTGTATCAGTCTAAGCTTGTTTAATGTAGAGCTTCAAACAGTACAAGCTACATCTACAGAGTTAATTTTTAAATGTACCAAACTGATATACTAGTTAGCCAACAAGGGAAGTAACAGATATAAAGAGATACACAATGTATTTTTCTACATTAATTTTTGCAGTTAACCAAAGGACTGTATCAGACCATTTCAATCAGATAAAAAATACAAGAGAAATTATTCCACAGAAAACAACATTTGTAATATTCGATGCACCAATGTAATGTTTCTTTTTTGATGAAGTATAAAAAACATTGCAAGCTAACATACTTGGTCTGTTTAAATTAGGTTATTAGGCAGGGGTCTTAAGAACCCATGTAAGAGGAGGGGACTTGGAACCCATGTAGGGAAAGGGGACCTGGAACCCATGAAGGGAAAGGGGACCTGGAACCCATGTAGGGAAAGGGGACCTGGAACCCATGTAGGGAAAGGGGGACCTGGGACCCATGTAGGGAAAGGGGACCTGGGACCCATGTAGGGGGTCTCTGAACAGAAACTTAAGTGACAGAAAGAAATAACAAAAAAACCTAGCGCTGACTCACGTTTTTCATGTGCTTGAACAGTCAAGTGAAAGTCTGGAACCACTCGGTCATTGACAAACTTTCTTCCCCACTCCAGGGTGAATACAGGCCTGATTGAGATAGCAAAGTCAAGTCACATAGGACTAATTAAAACACAACCACATAAACACAGGACTAATGGAAACACAACCACATAAACACAGGACTAATGGAAACACAACCACATAAACACAGAACTAATGGAAACACAACCACATAAACACAGGACTAATGGAAACACAACCACATAAACACAGGACTAATGAAAACACAACCACATAAACACAGGACTAATGAAAACACAACCACATAAACACAGGACTAATGAAAACACAACCACATAAACACAGGACTAATGAAAACACAACCACATAAACACAGGACTAATGGAAACACAACCACATAAACACAGAACTAATGGAAACACAACCACATAAACACAGGACTAATGGAAACACAACCACATAAACACAGGACTAATGGAAACACAACCACATAAACACAGGACTGATGGAAACACAACCACATAAACACAGGACTGATGGAAACACAACCACATAAACACAGGACTAATGGAAACACAACCACATAAACAGAGGACTAATGGAAACACAACCACATAAACACAGGACTGATGGAAACACAACCACATAAACACAGGACTAATGGAAACACAACCACACAAACACAGGACTGATGGAAACATAACCACATAAACACAGGACTTATGGAAACATAACCACATAAACACAGGACTAATGGAAACACAACCACATAAACACAGGACTAATGGAAACACAACCACAGGAAATTTAAACATTGGAATTAAGGAAACAAATCTTACGTGCCCAAATATTTATATTGGACACAATATTAATATTGCTGTTTGTTTCCAAAATGTAATAGTGAAGGTACTGTAATTTTAAACTATTCTCTATCAGCACTATGATAGCTGTAGTACAAGGAAATAACAGACTAGCCGAGTTCTAGCTCAAATGCTGGACCCAACATACACTAAGCTTTAGCTATTGAATAGATTATAGACTTGCCGAAATGGTTTTGGATTCTTTATCTCTAGGCACCTGTTCCCCCTCTCATTGACAATGACAGAAACATTATTGGGGTAGCTCTTGGTGAATTTCTCGATGGCATGGTCCTGGGTTTTCTGCCACTGCAGGTAGGTCTTCAGCAAAGATATTGTCGAGTGAATAGCTAAGTTATCTGCAGCTCTGAAATAAAATTTTAAAACTAAATTGTTAAGTTAATAGACAAAGTACCTGTCAATCTGATACACAATTTAAAATACATCCATTAGGGCATTTCAAAACAAACAAGGTAATAGTGACTTATTAAAGGTTGGCCATGTTAAGTCGTAATAGTGACTTATTACAGGGTGGCCTTGTTAAAACTCCAGGTTGGACTCACTTGACAATTTCCCCGCCAATGGCACCATTTATGTTTTCTCCAAATTTGATTTCAAACCACAGGAGTTTGCTCCCTTCTGAGTGACCTTCCACAGGATTCTAAAATAAATGTTTTCTTTAATAACATTTCTACACTTTTAGAATTAAAATAGATATTTTACTTTTATAAGGTGATATTTGCACCAATTTTTACAATTAAATAAAATGTATTACTTCAATGAGATTTTCTATATACAAACTTTTAGAATTAAAATAGATTTATAACTTCTAATCTATAAGATGAAACTAGCAGCAACTTGTGGAATTAAAATAAATGTTTTACTTTTATAAGGTAAAAGCTAAACAAACTTTTTGAATTGAAATAAATCCTTTACTTCAATATGATGAAATTTATATGAATTATTAGAATTATGATGATAAAGAAAATAATTTCTACTCACAAATATTTCTAACAGTTTGTAGATCAGGATCACCTTCCTATCCAACACCTGCAGGTCCAAATAGAACTCTTTAGTGCAGTGGTTGTCGTCTAGAACAAATAAAGTAGACATTTTTAGTGCAGTGGTTGTCATCTAGAACAAATAAAGTAGACATTTTTAGTGCAGTGGTTGTCGTCTAGAACAAATAGACATTTTTAGTGCAGTGGTTGTCATCTAGAATAAATAAAGTAGACATTTTTAGTGCAGTGGTTGTCATCAAGAAAGGAATTACCCAGTTCAAGAACCTCCCTCCTAATGTTCTCAATTGTAACACCAGTCAGTTTCATTGTTTCATGAAGCTGTGGGAAAAAAGATTTTAATTATCAACTCACAATGTTTAGTTTAGCTAATGAGGATTTACTTTGTAAGTGACAGATTCAAATCCTGCTAGTTTGTATCTTATTTGAGTCAATGAAAATAAAATAATTTGTTTTGTTTTCATTTTGTTTAACAAATGAAATTAAATAATAGGTCCTAAATAACTTATAAAACTACTTTTTGCTAGAAATACTAGAATATAAAAATAAGCTAATACAATTGTTTTTTATCAAATGTAAATGTTATATTACATTCAAACAAAAAAGTGAGGTACAAAGAGTTAGCTCTGTTATAAGGAAAAAAATACCCGAAGTTGATGGTCATAAAATTGTTTCTCTAATTCTTGCAGAACTTGTTCAAAATTGCTACTTCCATCTGGTCTGTAAAAAGAAAAAAGTCATTAGGATTATTGCTTGCTTTTACTTTTCTTGTATTTTTTTTTTAATAAGTCTAAATTAGTAAGTTAAAAATATTGTACTATTGTTTTCTGATAATGTTTTTTTTGTATTTTTATCACTAAATTAAAATTGAAAGGATTCATTAGGGCCTATATAAAAATTCTGAACACATTATTAGTGTACCATACAATTTAATTTTTATGAATTCTATTACTATGAATAATCTAGAAATACGTTCTTAGTATTTTCGAAATTCTAATAACAATGACCTTGGGTTATTTAGAAAACTTAAGTACAAAATTTATTCCATTTATTATATCAAACAATATCATACTCTACATTACAATCAATAATAATAATCCACACCTGTTTATTACCCTCAACTCTGGAGAAGGCAATGCCCCAGGACCAAACTGTTTAAATTTCCTTTTCAGTAGTTTAATATCCTTTTCAAGCTCTGCTATGGTCTCTGCATTTTTCTTTTGGAATTCATCCAACTCTTCTTTACTCAGAGCGCTAATATCAGGGTATTCTTCAAAGTCAGCTAAGTCCATCTGAAAAATGGTCAGTGTAAGCAACAATGTCTGACAAACAAATCATAAAATTTAAAAATTGTAGCATATTTGCTATAATTTATTATTAGGTGGGGCTAAATTTCTGGAGGAAAAAAGTGTAAACTTCAATTCTGTTCTCAGACCCCATTACTGGTATAAAAATAAATCTGGAATTTTACACTAGTTTTTATCTAGGCCAAGCAGGCCTATCCCTAAACTCGAATGAGGAAAGTTGTAAATACACTTGTAAAGCCACGTAGATCTATGTGTGTAAAAATTTTCACTTTAAAGTCCAATATATTATAAAGAATTTAGTAACTAAGCTCAAAATGAGATTTTTCTTTTGTTCCTATACCTTATGTCTTATAAAACAGCTGAAGATCACCAGCCACTTTTTGTTAAAGCTTGAGAGGTGTATCTTACATTTTTTTTGTATTAGAATGGCAACTTTTAACAGGAGGCTTACACTTTTTTGTAGCTAAATCATATAGAGGCCTAGCTGAAATATATCCACGGATGGAGGCCTAGCTGAAATATATCCACGGATGGAGCCCTAGCTGAAATATATCCACGGAATATTTTGGACTGATGTAAACCTTACTGAATTAACTGAGCAGTAGAAGGATGAGAGAAAAAAGGTACATTTCACACAGGCATAAAATAACACATTTAAATGTAAAATACTGTAGGTCCTATTTCTTGTTGTTTTGAACTAGATCTATGTGGTATTCAAAGTCATAACAATAGAAAGAAGTTGTTCAATCATCCATAAATTTCAGGTGTAGTACAAATTGGAACATCTGATTCATTGGGCTTGAAATATGTTTGCATTGAGCGCTGCATTATAACAATACCAACTTAAATACAGTGTTCAAAAATTTAAGTCTGCACCAAAGTGTAAGTTTGTTTATATAAATTATCAGCCCATTGGAATTCGGATGCAATAAAATATTGCAGATAACAGCACAGTTTACCCACATAATGCTGACATATTATTGGGAATAAAATGCGAGACAAAAATCTAAAAAATGTCATCATGTTGTGAATGTGACAGGCCATTTTCGCTCCTTAAAATTTTGCATTACTGTTTTACCAAGACACACATACTATACACTGTAATACTCTACTACTAGATCTATATTAATAATTTAATTAATAATATATTATATATATAAGTATTGGGTAATCTATCGTTTTGGGTACGTAAAATCGCCCGCGACTTGTAATGTGAAAAACAGGTGACTCCTTAAATTGTAATAATTATTTCACATTTTGAGGAGGATTTATGTTTTGAAAAATACAAAAATGTTTCCTAGTTTCATTTATGTACCTGTTTTTAAACAATTGAATTAAAACTTTTCAGTAATAAATGAACACCAGCGATGTTTCCAACAGATGCAACCATGCTCATTTACTATAGCAGCCATCTTGTTAAAGTTTTATTTTTATAGACTTATAGCGCGAGATTCAGGCGGAAGTCACTCTATTTTACAAATGGCTGCTGTTTATTTTTTATATAGCAAATCTTGCTTGCAGACACTGCTGTTTAAAGTTAATTTCTGGCCTATATTGATATATTTAATAATTTATTATTTAGCCATTGATTTAGGTTCATTATTCATTTATCTATAATATTTGACACAAACATATCACAATATACTTCTATTAAAGCATTGACAATGAGGTAACGTTTTCGTACATTGATAGCCGCGGGTGATTTTACGTACCCAAAACGATAGATTACCAACAATTGGTCAATGGACACCAGCGAGAAAAGTCTCAAAGGTATTTGAGAGGTGTATAAATTCATTAAAAAATCATGCACAGCGTATTTACAATTAATATGGTTATAAAATCCTGCCTGTCTGGTTTTTTTCGGACTTTACTAAAGATTGGATGTATTTGATGTTTATAATATTTTCGGTAACTAAATAAAAATTTTAAAAAAAGCAAAAACAATTTGGTTTTCACGTGTAATGGCGACATAAACATGGCATCCTGCTATTGGATAGGCTGCCATAGATTTTATTGCACACATTGTAAGCTAAAAATAGAAAATTTGCATTGTTATTTAAAAACTTGATCTGCAAAGTTTTGTAAACAAATAGTTATCGATCACTAAGTTACTGTACAGCCAATCAATATTTGTCTTACGAAAGTGAAACATCCGGTTATAACTTAGGCTTGATGAAAATAAATAGAAATGTAGCCTTAAACTCAACAAATTATTTTCAAGTTCTCTGGATTTGCAACTTTTATAGCATTTATTCTAAGAATATAAAATTTCTAAATTAATTTTAGGCTTAAGTTTTTATTTTTTATTTTTTTTTACGGTCTAAATCTAAAAAAAACACGTTTTTATTCCATGACAACAACATTATGGAAGGAATCTCGTCAACTCGCTCGCCTCCATTACTCAAATTACTATCAAATTACTAGATCTCTAGTAAATACTAGATTCTAGATTAAGATTAGTATTAGTATCATTAGTAATTAGTAATTAATTAGTATTACCAAGTATTGTGTCTCTTGGTACTGCACTTAAATTGATATAAATTCTAGGCCTGGCGTGTTGTGAAATTTAATAGAATTAGAATCTAGATCTAGAATTTAGATCTAGAACTAGATTCTCTAGATTCTCCTCCAGATCTAGCTAGGTCTAGAATCAAATTTAAATAAACATAAAAACATAGCGATATTTTATTTATTATTTAAGGTTCGTTTCGTATGATTCTGAATTTGTGTTGATCCAAAATATGCCAGATCAAATATATTAATAATAGCCTCATCTGTTTTGAAATTTTATAAATACTTATTTTGAAGTGAAAAAAGACTTTTTTTTTTTTAAATTGGTAAAAAGGTTATTAGTGCTTATCTAGCAAATGTTTATCAAACCTTTTATTTCTATATTTAAAAAAAAATTAAATTCCAACGTTTTCTTCTTTCTTGTTGAGTCTGTGCAAAGTGGAGAAAAACCTAGTCTTACTTATAAATTAGTAGCAAAAAACTAAGGATCACTTTGTTTCAACATTGTCACTCGATGACAACACACTATGACATAAATTGTCATTAGGTGCGCAATTAATTTTCTAATCGATTCTATTTTTATAAAACAAAGTTTTAAAAGATGTAGACCTACGCAGCCGTGATTAGTCTCGAAATGGTGTAGGCCTAGGCCTATAATTTATATTTATTTTTAAATCCGGAGTGATGTTATTAAAATAAATATGGTAATAAAAACCACCATGCTGTTTGATTTTTTGTTGGACTATATTTAAGATTTGATGTATTTTATGTTTTAATATTTTCGATAAATAAACACAATTTTTAAATTTTATTATTTACATTTAATCACAGAAAATGTAAACACAAATGACAAAAACAGTACATATTTAGATTTTTACATGGCGAGACGTTTTTTATTTACCTATTTTGCTATCTTGTTTGTAGCCAATGTTTGTGTGTGAACATGATAATTTGAGTGCCGTATTAGATCGAGTTGGTTGGTGCATGTTATATATAGGATTATGTCAACTTTCAAGCGATTTCCGGTAACCGGAATTATTACTTAATATAACTCTAGTTTCTAAAAAACTGAAAACTTAAGTGTCGTTTTAGTTAGGTGAACAAAATTTAACATGTAATTATAAAATCCAACTCGCAAGTATCTTTCAAATTTTTAACAATTTCCGGTAACCAGAAGTGATACTTTTCTCAAATCCCACGTGAACGCTATAATTTGAGTATTAATTCAGTTACGTAGATGAAATGTAATGTTTAAATATCCGTATACTTAGTTTTCTTTTAATTTTTCGGTGATTTCCGATTTCAGAAGGGACCCTTTATTCTATTTCTGGTTCCTAAAATACCGATAATTTGAGTGCCACTTCGGTTAGGTGGATGAAATTTTAAATGTATCAGAGCTGAATATAAATTTATTTTCCCTGTTTATAAAACCTAATGTAATGTTTAAATCTTCGCGCCTGGGCAGTATAATGTTACAGGTCTGGACAGTACAATATTACAGGTCTGGGCAGTACAATGTTACAGGTCTGAGGTCTGGACAGTACAATGTTCAAAGTCTGGACAGCACAATGTTACAGGTCTGGACAGTAGAATGTTACAGGTCTGGACAGTACAATGTTACAGGTCTAAGGTCTAGACAGTACAATGTTACAGGTCTGGACAGTACAATGTTACAGGTCTAAGGTCTGGACAGTACAATGTTACAGGTCTGGACAGTACAATGTTACAGGTCTGGACAGTACAATGTTACAGGTCTAAGGTCTGGACAGTACAATGTTACAGGTCTGGACAGTACAATGTTACAGGTCTGGACAGCACAATGTCACGGCACAATGTCTCAATACAGGAGATCAAGGAAACAGAAATAAAAAACTTGATTTTGATTCGAGTGTTCGCATTTCGTGTGTTCGAGAGGTAGAGAGCACAACCGCTAACCCGGAAGTTTCAGGCGGCTGTCGGAAACAGCGATACCCAATCCTGAATGTTGGAGCTTGCATCGGAAATAGGTTTGGTGTAACTGTTAGGGTTAAGTTTGGAGTTTAGTACAACCTAGAGTCCGGTTAAAATACAATATCTCCGAGACAAAAAAAAATGGAACAAATTTTTATTTTCAGTATTTACAAACATAAAATAAGGTGATGATACATTCAAGATATATGTATATATATAACAATATATTTAAAGATGGCGGAAGCTATATAACAATATAATTAAATATGGTGAAAGATATATAACAATGAAAGTGAGATTGTGCACAGGTTTATTTACATTTTGCCTTAAAATAGGCATCAGATACTAATAAAATAGGCATCAGATACTATTGAATTTAAAAACACAATTTAGATACAATTCTACACGATCACAGCACAATTTTAACACGTGTGTTTGCAATTATTTGTGAATTTGGATATTGAGTAGGTATTTGAGGGGAGATATGTGGGACTACAAGTAGATACAGGGTGGGGGGGGGGGGTGGGTGGCGGTAAATATAGTCTACCTTCTGTGTGGAGTTGGGGGACCAAGTAGATATAGTCTACCTTCTGTGTTGGTGGGGGGGGGGGGGGGGTGTGGAGGTAAATATAGTCTACCTTCTGTGTGGGTGGGGAGGTGTTGGACTAGGTAAATATAGTCTACCTTCTGTGTTGGTGGGGGGGGGGGGGTGGAGGTAAATATAGTCTACCTTCTGTGTGGGTGGGGGAGGTGTGGGTGGAGGTAAATATAGTCTACCTTCTGTGTGGGTGTGGAGGTGTGGGTGGGGAGGTGTGGTTGGAGGTAAATATAGTCTACCTTCTGTGTGGGTGGGGAGGTGTGGGTGGAGGTAAATATAGTCTACCTTCTGTGTGGGTGGGGAGGTGTGGGTGGGGAGGTGTGGTTGGAGGTAAATATAGTCTACCTTCTGTGTGGGTGGGGAGGTGTGGGTGGAGGTAAATATAGTCTACCTACTGTGTGGGTGGTGAGGTAAGGGACTGAACGTAATTATATGCATACTTTGGTGTGAGGCGAGGAGGGGAGGGGAATTTCGCATACACAAATCTCTTATTAATTAAACTATTCTAAATAGACCGTTCCAATGAATTAGTTGTTACCTTTAGGCCAATGTTGTTTAACATTTGTAGAAAATAACGTGATGCCCGTAGGGGGCCTACATATTTTGTGATAGCCACAGGGGTTGTACTCTAACGTTTAGCTAATGTTGATTGGATATTAATTAATGATTAGTTGATTAGGTTATCATTGCATAAACAATAATTCGTTAAATAACTGTTGCATAAGTTGCCAATATAATGCTATCAGCCACGATTCATACATTTATTGAACCGTTGATGGTGTATGCTATAAATCCTACATGTCATTATTTAACCAATAATCATACATGCTATTCGCATCCATCAATCATGTGCCATAAACCGCTAATTATAATCGACACCAACCGCTTATCATAACTTCCATTACAACTAATCATTGTGCTATTTATCAATATTAATCATAATTATTAGAAATTAAATATTAAGCAATATTTCTATTTTCAACTAATCATATTTGTTGTTTATCATGATAAATACTAACAACTTTCTTCATTGTTACTTAACACTTTTATAAAATTCAACAATGTTAATCATTAAAACCTAAAAACTTTTTAAGGTGTAATATTTAGTTCAACAGAATGAATAAATGTGGGTCACTTTTCGGGTCATGGGGGTCACTGCACGGGTCATGGGGGTCACTGCACGGGTCATGGGGGTCACTGCACGGGTCAGCACATCCAGGAATCCATGGCACTGATGGCGGAGAGCCGCACGGGGCGCTGGATCCAGTCCAGGGCCTGGTTGACGGTGACCACCCACACGTCGTCCTTGTCGGCCAGTGACCCCAGGAACTCGACCAGACCCTCCAGGTTCCCGTCTTTCCTGGCGAACCACGAGGCGTGGATGAAGATGCCGAAAGGCGCTCTGTTGGTGGTGTAGTGCCTCATGAAGTTGTCCTCTATGAACTTTCTACTGCCTTTTGTTCCGGCGCCTAGGGAAGATCATGTAGGATTCAATTATAGGTAAAACTGGTGGGGTAAAATATCTAGGATACAGTTATAGCTAACACCGCAACGGTCGTTTGTACACAATAGGGATTGTAAGTAGGTCACCAACTAGTTCTACGGCTTAATAAAACCTGCATGAGCAATAGAACTGGTTGGTGACCTACTTACCAGCCCTTTTGTAGACAACACTGTTGGGGTAATATATCTAGGATACAGTTACAGATTACACCGCAGGGGTAAAATATTTGGGATAACAGCATAGACAACACCAAAGAGTAAAGTAGATTATTTTGGGATAGAATTATGAAGTTTGATTGAAGAGGGTGTAGAATATTTGGGATTCAGTTTGAAGATAGCACCGCAATATTGGCTATAGGTCATGAATACACAGTATACATAAATTGTACGTCTAACTAAAGCAAGTGTTGGGGGCAATTAAGATACCAATAAAATAGCTCAATTATGTGGAATTGGGGAAAAGTCAAGCGGGGAATACACAGGACATGTTGATTAGACTCGAGGCTACTTTCAAATGAGACGAATAAAATAGTTGTCTACCCTTGTAGTTAGACGTCTTTAAACAAGTGATATCAAAAAAGATGTGTTCATTTCACCAAACAAAACTACTCACCAATCGTGCAAGCATCGGGCATGGCGCAGGCGATTCTGTTATTGCCGTACCATCGGATGAGCGGCACCTCCCACAGGCCGGGATAGGATCGGGTGGGGCAGGGGGTCAGGCTGCATGTTTTGCTGTCAGGGGGCGTGTCCAGGGTGAACGGCCATGTTGGGGCCTCGTTGTTGACGTAGAGATTCCCCGTTACCATGGAGGTATCGTACCGGAACCTGTTTTCTTTCAACATGGCGTACTGTGCGTCACCACCAACCTGTTCATTAAAAGTTTAATTTAATTTCAGAAAACTCAAAATTATTAACAAATTAGCATTTTGTTAAATATGATTATTATAGAAGTCTTCTTTAATCAGAAGCGTAATCTTTCAAGTTACGAATATTTCTTCATATTATTATATTTAGTATGATGTTTCGGGTGGTATCGATATTTTGTTTGTATCGATAATTGAGTAGTATCGTCTGAGTTTTAAGAAAGAGGATTCTGTCATATATATATATATATATATATATATATATATATATATATATATATATATATATATATATATATATATATATATATATATATATATATATATATATATATATATATATATATATTGATAATGTTGTCAACACGAAAGAAGGTACGTCTAGACCCACAGATCTACAACCACGATGTGTGAGTGCATCTGACTGTCCGAGCCTAGGTGAGCAGTTACCTGTAGAAAGGGCGCCCTCATGCCGACGATACCGTCCAGCGGGATGCCAGACTTCTCGTGCAGCCGCTTCTTCATGCCGACCACCTCCTGCTCCCAGTTCTCGAACCCGGCGTCCGCCCACCAGGTGGTGGGGCTGCGGTGGCTGAGGGTGTGGGAGGCGATCTCGTGACCCCCCTTGTGGATCTTGCGGACCATCTCGTAGTCACTGTTGTCTCCAGACACGAAGAAGGTCGCTGTGAACATCAGAAGTCTTACAGTAAGTAAGAAGAACATTAGAAGTCTTACAGTAAGTAAGAAGAACATTAAAAGTCTTACAGTAAGTAAGAAGAACATTAGAAATCTTACAGTATATCTTCATACAAACGTCGTACTAGTTTTAACTACTGGCTTATTGCATGAGTTATGATAGGTCTTACAGTAAGTCTTCGTCAGCGGATATGAGCTAGGGTTAGAGGTAAGGTCTTAGAATAAAGTTTAGGATTAAAATTAAGGTTAAAGCTATGGTTTGGGCTAGGATTAGGGTTGGATTAGGGTTGTGATTCTAGCAAACGCTAGTCCCTTACACTTCTTGACGAAGTTCTAGCAAGTTCCAAAGAAAAACAGATGGGACGTAGGAGCCTACTTACATTTGATGGGGCAGCCGTTGGGGTTCTTGAGTGTGCCGTTGAAGATGGTCTTGTAGTAGCCCATGTTCTGGCCGTTGATGCTGTCGTCAAAGGTCAGCATGACCAGCTGGGGGATGTCCTTAGGGTCAAGGTCGCCTGGCACGTCCGAGCCGATGCACCTGCAGTCGGGCAGCTTGCACCAGGTGCTGCTGCATTTACCTGTAATACACGAGAAGGTCAGGTAGTGAGGTGGGGTGGTAGGGTGGGGTGGTAAGGTGGGGTGTGGTGGTAAGGTGGGGTGTGGTGGTAAGGTGGGGTGGGGTGGGGTGTAAGGTGGGGTGGTAAGGTGGGGTGTGGTGGTAAGGTGGGGTGTGGTGGTAAGGTGGGGTGTGGTGGTAAGGTGGGGTGTGGTGGTAAGGTGGGGTGGGGTGGAGATGTAGCTATAAGCTAGACACCCCGTAGTTCTACTCAGACAACAATGACCACAAACTGAATTTCATGCCAAAAAATGTATTTAACTGGATAACAAGATGCATGTCAGCTAAGAAAGATTTGGTACAGAAATTGTATTTATACGTGCGATTTCTTATTGTTTTTGCCTTAACTAAAACATAATTTGAATTTATTTGTTTTGACGATGCCTTATGTTAATATGTATGTTATTCTGTGTGGGCTCACCTTTCTTGTAGTCGTATTTCTCTATCGGCGACTTGTATTGACTTTGTTCTTTCACCTCCCTGTTCACGTGCTTGGGATCTTCCTTGATCAGACCAACAGAGAACTTATCCAAAGCTGCAGGGGCATTCACTCGGCTGGGACTAGCCTGTTGTTGCTGAGTTTCTGGCCTTTTATCAACAGCGGCCGCGGCGCTGTAGGGGTTGGTGGCGCTGTTCTGAGCTTTGTGGAGCGCGAACTTTCGATCTTCTGCCGCGGCGGCTTGGTTGGGTGGGTTGTATGCCTTGTGGAGGGCGAACCGACGATCAGCAGACGCCGCCTCGTTGACCTGGTGTAGGGAGAAGCTTCTGTCCACCTCTTTACTGGTGTCTTGGACCTTGTGCCTGGGGGTGAAGCGACGTGCAGACGTCTCGTCTTCTGCTCCGCCTTGATTGGACGGGACAAGTTCAATGTCGAACTTGGGGGTTCGAGTGTGGTAGTTGGGTTTCTGTGTGTTGTGGTGGGCGGGGATGTACGCCCGTCTGGAGCTCTTTGGCTGGTCAGCGTGGCCGGAATGTGAACTTGTTCTCAACTGGTCCTTTGACCACCAGGGTAAACTTTTCCCAGGTTTTTCAGAGTCCACCTCACGCGACGTTGGACTGGACTTGTCTTCGGCTGATATCAGATAAGATTTCTCGTCATTTTGTCTTTGGGGAGAACTTTCGTCTTTTGATTTTTGCTTTGGGTTTTCTTCGTTTAGTCTTGGTTTGGATTTCTCATCATTTGATTTTTGGTTAGGCTTATCATCGCTTGGCCTTTGGCTTGACATGGCCCGTGTTGATTTTTGGCTAAACGTTTCATCTGATGGCTTTTGGCTAGTCCTGCCTACAACTTGCCTGTTAAAGGGAGCGAATGGCGACTTAGAGACCGTCGAGGCAGCGGCGCTGTAGCTGGGGCGTTGAGTTATCTTTTCCTTGGTTACTATCACTGCGTCCTTGGTTGTTTCTTTAACGTCTGGACGCGATGACGTCACGGCAGGTTCTGTTTTTCTAGAAAATCTGGAGTTTGTTACTGGTCTTCTAGAGAAGACGATGTTTTGTACCGTCTCGTCCTTCTGTTCTTTTACCTCCGGTTTAGATGTTGATTCAACTTTTGCGGTCTCCTCCTCGTACCAAAGTTTCCCTTCTTTTTTCTGCGAAAACTTTTCCTTGAGTGCAGTTTTCACGGTAGTGAAGGTCCTGGCGACGTCTTCAATTTCCGTGGGTCTCGGCTTAAATTTCTTCAGTGTTGTTCTTGCTCTTTGGAATGTTGCGGCCGTTGTTGGTGTTGGTGTTGGTGTTTCTTTGGTTGTCTGCACTTTTTGCTGCACTACATTGTGCGAGTGTGCCACAGATATTGGGATAGACTTGGCTACTTGCGACTTGACTTGGTTGGACTTTACCCAGGACGGCACGAATTCTTTCTCGGCACTGTCCTCAGTCTTCTTGGCAGGCCTCTCTCTGTAGGCCTCCTGGCGTGGCTTGGAGTAGGCCCTGGTGGACATCTTGCCATCATCCAGTCTGTTGGCTGAGTCGTCTGCTGTTGTCTCGTACCATTTTGGGACAGACGTGATGTCGTCATCGAAGTTTGTGGCAGACTTGTACGGGGCAGATTCGATTAACGGATCCCAGCGGTCGTCGTTCTTGGGTTTTCTCGTGGTCTTGGGTTTGATGCTCTCCACTGGGTTCTGTGGGGCGAACTCACGCTGTTCTGTTCTGCTGCGGGTGTTCTGGACGGGGTGGTAGGCAACAGTGGGTTTTTTAAACGGACTCCGTGAGACCGTGGTTGGGGAGCGGTTTAACGGGCGGGTGGTTGTCGGTTTTGTGGTTGTGCTGGTTGGTGTCGTTTTTCTGGTAGTCGTTGATGTTTTTGGCGCAGCGGTTGCTTTATAGGGTTGAACAATGCGGTCAGAAAACCGGATACGCTGGATTCGATTCTCTTCTGAAAAATCGGGTTCATCTGTGTAATCGATACTACCAGACTCACTTTCCACCTGATAAGTAAAGGATCGAGTACTCACTTCAGGTTTGCGCGTGACTTCAAGGCTTGCATCGGATAACTGCTCACCCTTCTTGTCAAACTTTCCAGAATATTCGTTTGAATCCTTGTGCCTTACGGCCTGGTTGACCTGAGTGGGTAGCGGAGATTTGTCTTGAGGTCTGCTCGTGCTGCGGGGGACCGCCTGCTTGTCTGGCACGGGACTGTCTTGAGTCTTGGCCTGTGGTTTCTTGGCCGTGTCGTGGAACTTTGACGGAGCGTCTGGCTCCACGTCCAGACGTTTCTGCAGCGCGCGCTGGCGAGCTTCCTCCACACAGTTGACCGCCTTAGGCCAGTCGCAGTTCTGGGTCCTCACGTTGTAGTGTAGATCCCCAGGGCATCTGTGCGTGTATTTATTATTGCCCATACAAATATGAAACACTTGCGGGTCTTCGTCATCACAGATGTATCGGCCTTTGACCCCACCGCAGGGGAGGGGAGATGACCCGTTAACTATAGACAAGACCTGAGCTAGAACAACTAGGTAGAAAGACAACTCTTGCCATCTTGACACCCCAGCGCAAACTCTGCTTGACCGACTTGATACGACAGTCATCTTGTTAGTTCTTACAACAAATTCTATCTATTGTTTCGTTGTTAATTTTTTTTTTAAATTTACAATTGAAAACTTCCTTGCCAGATGATCACAATGTCGTAAATGTAAAAGAACATCCAAAGGCTTGTAATCCAAATCCACTTCTGAAAAAATGAACAAGAAAAGAAAATTGCATCATTAAAGACACTCAAAAGCCGTGTGGCTTGGCCTGAAGTTTTCCAACTGAATGACAGGTAAGGCCCGGCATCGAATTTATAAGAGACCAGCCCCGATCTAATGTCCACTCAGTCGATGACCAACAACCTGCGGCCTGCTCAAACAAAATGTACTCCACTTTTTAATTGCTACACCGACCACACAATCAGACTATGGCCACGGGCCAAGACAACAAGAACTGCACCAACTCGAGGTCCTCGGAGGTCTACTCCAAATTTGACGATGTGGAACCTCAACAACCAGGGCACACAGTGGGCAGTTGATGAGACCCAGCTGTCGACCAATGACGAGACCGGCCCCACGTCACTGCGGGACCTGTGTTTGGCTGGCTGTTGGTCCTGTACAAACCTGCCGAATGCTGCAAGGTTGGCTGGCTTCAGCACTCGTGTCAACAGGGAGACAACAGGTAAACAATTACTTTAACCCGCGATTGTTTACCAACAAAAAAAAAAGACCAAGTATGGTGGAATGGTTGGGGGGGGGGGAGGACTTAATCTGTGGGACTGACGTCACGCAGGTTGTGATGTTTGAAGAGAAAGGGTTAACGAGAGCGACCTGCGTTAAACGCTGGTCTACCTGTTGTGTGGCTGTACCAGGTGAGTTCACACTGGGCAGGTGGCGTTGGTCAGGGCTTCCATAGACAGACTTCATTAGTCAGACTTTGATAGGTTGACTTCATAAGTCAGACTTTGATAGGTAGACTTCATTAGTCAGACTTTGATAGGTTGACTTCATAAGTCAGACTTTGATAGGTAGACTTCATTAGTCAGACTTTGATAGACAGACTTCATTAGTCAGACTTTGATAGGTTGACTTCATTAGTCAGACTTTGATAGGTTGACTTCATTAGTCAGACTTTGATAGGTAGACTTCATTAGTCAGACTTTGATATGTAGATTTCATTAGTCAGACTTTGGTAGGTAGACTTCATTAGTCAGACTTTGATATGTAGATTTCATTAGTCAGACTTTGGTAGGTAGACTTCATTAGTCAGACTTTGGTAGGTAGCTTTCATTAGTCAGACTTTGATATTTTTGATCTGACCAGCAAAGACTTTAGACAAATCGAGTCAAGCGACTGACCAGTCAAGCGACTGACCAGATGTTCTGCTTGTCAAACTACAAAGGATCGTGTATAGATTGTATAAGACAAAATAGATGAGGTGGCTCATCATTCTGTTACACGTATATTGTGTTAAGTGAGATTGAAAGGGTGTAGACCAATGGTGAACAACTTTGCTGTTGCTTGTCTTACTGCAGTTGTGTTTTTACAATTGTTTAATGAATTAAGTGAAACAATAAGCTTACAAGGTCCTTATTTAAAGCTAATGAAAATCTACTAATGAACTAAATCTATTTTAAAATCCTTACAGTAAAAAATCAAACTGATTTGTTCGTGAGTGTGGGAGGAGTATCGGCCTAGAAATGTTACGTAATATAAAGTGTAATGTCTATAGACGTGAAGGGAGTCGGTCATGTATGTAATATGTACACGTTACCTTAGATCTAGTCAAACAATAGAGCACTATATTGACATATGAGGGTCTAATGAATGTCACCGCTCAGTGGAATGTTGATTGACAAAATCCTGACGGTAGTTAGAAGTTTATTCATTTCGTAACTGTGTGATGATCATATTTAATTATGATATACCGGCATGTTCTTCTTTGTCGTGATGAGTATGTACACCTAATCCCTCGATAACAGGTATTTCCATTAACTGTTCGCTAATCACGCCAAAGTGTTTAAATACAGTTGAGTTAATTCAAATAAAAACTCGGAAATTTGTTTTCAGACATGTCGTCACCCCTTCCATTGTGAGGGGATTGGGGTAGAGGGCGTCAACGGTACCACACGAACTGAAGTCTTCTGATGCCCTTGAGGGTGCATCAAACAGTACCACAACAACTGGAACCTTCTCTTGTTATCAAGCAGACAATAAGCGTGGGAAAAAAAATTTGTTAATTCATGTTTCAGATTTACAACTAAATTGTTCCTCGGCTTCTTAGATCGAAGTTCAGATGTGACAAGTTTAAATTTGGAAAATTCATTTTCTACCAAAGTAGATTAGACAAGTTCAGTATAGGCGTATTAGGCTTGAGAAATTCATAACGGACAAGTTCAAATTCATGATTTCCCGAGCTTTTTTTTCTGGTGAGATTTTCGGTCGTTCCACGTTTTCAACTGAGGTAAGTAAACTAGTGAGGGGTTCCCACATCTACTGCTGAGGTAACCAAACTAGTGAGGTTTCCACATCTACTGGTGAGGTAACCAAACTAGTGAGGTTTCCACATCTACTGGTGAGATAACCAAACTAGTGAGGTTCCCACATCTACTGGTGAGATAACCAAACTAGTGAGGTTCCCACATCTACTGGTGAGGTAACCAAACTAATGAGGTTCCCACATCTACTGCTGAGGTTCCCACATCTACTGCTGAGGTAAGTAAACTGATGAGGTTCCCACATTTACTGGTGAGGTGTTCTCGCATCTACTGGTGAGGTAAGCGAACTGCTGAGGTTCCCACATCTACTGTTGTTCGAGACGCCGCCAACCGAGCCGCGTGTTTGTACAGATGAGATCGCGAGCTGGGCTCGTGTTTCTGGCTTAAGTCTGTGTTTACCTACACATTTAACCACCTGGGCCATCAGGGGACACCAGCGTCAGACACCTAGATCAGATCAAGACGGCCAGGTATTGCGTTAAGTAACACTGACCAGCGTCAGACACCTAGATCAGATCAAGGTATTGCGTTAAGTAACTCTTGACACTTTAATTCAGTCGACGTAAGAACATGCGAACAAGGGCCGCGACAAAGGTCGGCTTTAAAGTCTGTCCACAAGTTTAGATATATTGGGACGGATGAGTTGAAGATAAACAGTCTTCGCCTCATAATCCCAAGTATAGACAGCCTAGACAACAAAGTTTTGGCTAGAATAATGGAGTGAACGATGTATTTAGACTTTGGCATGATCAATCGAGAACTATGCCGTCTGAGCATTAAGTCCTACCTACTTTCTTGCTTTTTTTTTAATCTCAACCGATTAAAAGCAAAATGTACGATAAAATACATCTTTGTTTACTGCAGCTAAAATAATGGAGTATGTACTCTTTAAACAATAACAGACAGAGGAACAGACTGGCCAGGCGTTAGAGCTCCTGACCTCTAAACTCGAAAAGTCACGAGTTCGAGTCCCAGGCAGATCATAGTCAATAGCTGAGGACAGCAACCCGTCTTGGAGAAGAAAGCATCTGCTGAGTTTCAACTTTTCCTATGTAAACAAGAAGCGAATCTAGAAAGATAATCCACCTCTAGTCGGGGTCGACATCCATTTATAACTCATAACAAGGTGACAAGTTAGACTTAATTGTTTTGGAAGGTGTCCCCTTTTAACCTATCAGATTGGTGTACAACGCTAGAACAGCCCTCAATATTTTCGTAAGCGTGGAAAAAGAATGAGCTTCCTTTACCAAAAACTGAGTGAGATTCTGCTCTAGAAAATTGCAGTGATTCAAGCGAGCGATGTTGATATTTTTGTTAGGGCAGTGAATGTCTTGTTAAACAGTTCATTCTCTTACCCCCTCTTGTAACTAAATACTTTCATCAAAAGCTGGTCACCACAAGCCGATACACCGTGTAAACGGTTGATGAGCAACTACCCTGTAATGTTATGACCAATGCCTTCTGAAATGTTGAGCACCTGCACATTACACCTTAGCAAATGTCCCTACACCCCTAAACTACACTGACTAGGTTCTGCATTCGAATGGAAATCATAGATAAATAAATCACAAAATCTGGAGACCTACCTTTCCGACAGAGTTATCAGCAGATGTAGATGTGAACAGTTGAAAAGCTAGGAGAACCAATCTTTTCACCTGAACTTTGGTGTGTTCACTTCTCCAAAAATCTGGAGCAGAACTACACTCGGAGCCAAGCTCAGTCTACGAACAGCAGTCTGAAAACTGAGTCTAGCTACAACCAACACTCTCAGCTTCGGCTTAAATACTCCCCGACCAATCTTTGGCATTTTTACATTTCTTTTTGGCGAGAGGACCATTTGATGCATCCAAGCTGCCAATGTCAAGGCTACATAACCGGTCGTCTCACCCCCCTGCGACTCAAGGTCCATAATGAGCTGCATCCTTGACGTGCCGGGCAGGACTCACCTGCCGGATGCCGCAGGCTTACGGCATTCTTCGTCGAATCACGGCCAACAAAAAATGGCTTCAATGTCGTAAAACGCTGGACTGAAATGTTACGAATTCTGCCGAGTCCGCTTGTCTAAGGATTAATGATTCAACCTTTTTAACGATCAAGATTCGCAGTTCGTTTTTTGGAAAAAATAAAGCGGGAGTGATCTCCCCTAAACTTTCTGGAATATTCTTATATTACACTACGTGGAATGGCAACTTGGGGTATAGACATTACATGAAAGACATTATTTTTAATCCATTTTAATTACTTAGACTTTTTAAAATAGAATAAAATCCCCTAGAAAAAAGAATTGCGCAAGTGAACAGCAAACAATGTATGCATAATAGTGCGGAACATTAGTACTTTTTAATTAATATGCGGTTTTTTTTTTGAGAAATCGGAAATAGCGTAAAGTACTACTTCCGGTAAACGGAAATTACTCAAAATTTGACAGAAGGCAGAGAATTAGATCTTTGGAAAATCTCGTCAATCTATCTGAAAACAGTACTCAATTATATATTCAGAGAATGCAAAATTAACTTAGGATTAATTAAATGTAATGTTATGTGTGTAGGTTGTATACGCATGGTAATGTTTATAATTCATCTAAAAATATTTAGTTTTAAGTATGTAGATTGTAATTATGTAAAACATAATATCAGTGGCGTAGCGAGGTCGGGTGTCACCCGGTGCGGCACTTAATGGTGTCACCCCCCAGAGGCACAACGACCCTTCCCGGGGTCAAACTTTCAATTTTCGATTTACACCCCCTCAAACTTTCGATTTGCACCCCCCCCCCCCCTCAAACCTTCGATTTGCACTCACACCTCTTAAAAGGCTATTTAACACTCTAATTAATTTTAAAAAATTAACACTCTATTGAGTGGAATTATCATTTTTCTCTATATATTTTGCTATTTTTTGCCTTGGTGTCACCCCCCTAAATGGTGTCACCCGGTGCGGTCCGCACCCCACGCACCCCCCCTCGCTACGCCCCTGCATAATATTAATAGCATTTAATAGAATGTTCCAACGTCCTCGGTTTTCATCGT